AACATCGCCACTGAGGAGACAAAGGCGGTCGGGCGTGTTGCTGGCCCACCCACCCCCTTCGTGCGCCGTGCCGGACTTAATAGGTGCTCGCTAACCCGTGGCTGCCGACCAAAAGTGTTTTTGAGAGTCGATTCGGCCCTCGTTAAGGAGAAGTTTAACCCAGCTCTAATCTAAGTTCACGGGACGCAATTGGCCACTCACGATGAAGCCACAAAGGCGACCAACGCGCCATTTCCGCCGCTACTACTGCTGCTGCGGTAGCGACCGGTGAAATGAATCGCTTGGCCAAAGATTCTGTTCCTTTTTTTCCTCGGGGAGGCAAGTGCTGCCCCGCTTACCATGGGGAGCTGCTGAGCACGCTGCTGCTGCTGCGATCAGAACCAGCCGCCCCGCGCATGATGGCGCTTAGCGGTTTCACTCCGCATTGAAGCCATTTGGCTGTATTGAGGCTTTGGCAAATGTGAGGTGCATTCCAATGAAATTTTTGTTTTATTATTTTGTTTTAACCAGGTGAGGAGTCCAAGAGAGCAGGATAGTCTGATTCGCAAGCGAGACCTTGCCAGTAGGGGGCAACGATCGCTGTGTATAATCCCAATTGTATCATTTGCGCCTCCTTTTTTGAGTTCGCTATCACTTTTTTTCCTCGCGCAGGAATGTGAGGGCCGACTCTTGCCAATGACGTCAAGGTTTTTTTTTATCAAAAGCAACATTACACCAAACGCGCGGCACACTCCAAGGGTGCGAAACTAGAAAAACACGTGCCAAATTGTGTCGTCGGTTTAAACGCGGAGGTAAAAGGCGGAGGTGAGAGTCTATGAGTTGGGTGGCGTTCGTGGGATCTTTTAACATCCGCTATCGTAGTATTATTGCGAGTATTACACCCGCCGTACACAAACTATTACTGATATTTTAAATTTTACCATGTAAGGCCCACTTAGAGCTATATAGCTCTTTTTATTTTTTTTACAGAAGCGACCCAGCCACAATTGATAGCTCAATGAAGTGGCTATTCACGTGAAAATTTATAGCAGCCGAATATTCTTAAACGCATGTTGATTCCTAAATGTGTGGAGGGGGGAAAAACCCTGGGCACCCGGAGAAAATCCACACGACAACGTGGAGAAACATGCAAACTCCACATATATGCAAGTTGTGATCGGGATCAAACCCACTACCTCCTGCATACCAGGTGAGGTAGTAAACATCTCGCGAGTAATAATCGTGGCGGCTGCTCGATTCGAACCATGAACCTTTACAACAAGTGGCGAATGCGCTACCGCTGGGCCTACGTTAACCGCTCTAGCTGACTTTCGGCGTGTACCAAGGTATCCATTAAACACATTCCTGCGGAGGGAGCTGGTAGGAACGTTGGGTTGCTCGGTCAATAGCCAGGGTCAACGGCGGCGTGGTGTATTCCCGACTGTGAGGGCGGGCACAAGCCGGCGTGAGTAGGTTAAACAGTTGAGTTTTATAAGTGCACCACGGGGTGACCAGCCGCTCCCTCCCCACCCAGCCCCTCCCCTCTCCACCCAGCCCCACCCATCCCATTTTTAGATGCACGACGGACGGACGGACACAATAATCCCCTGTGGGCTGGTGTAACCAGGAGGTTCCTACCAGTTCAATTGACCTTAACTCTCTTTCCCGTTGTTGGACCACTGCAAGTTGCAGGGTGTGTCCCATTCGCCACTGAATCTCGGAACGCGCAAGCGGTTCAGAATACATTTGTTTAGAGATCCAAAGCGCCGTTGTGTTTAAAGACATTGTACTCAACGTAGAGAACTGTAGCGACACGACTGCACTCTTGATAGCTGGCGCCAAACTGTGCCACGTGCCCTCCCATAGGGCCTTGAGGGAGCCTCGATACCGATAAAGTTATTTTATTTAAGTTGTCTTCCGATTCCATTTCGATGAAGTACACGTACGTCCACATGTACATCATCATAACGGATTCGATGCTCACGGTAAGAGCATCAAATCACACGTCTGACGATCAATGTTTTAGATTCGTATGTGTTTAATGCAATGGGTTCGTGTGACCCCCTCCAACCACTAGAGTCCGCTACGTTTACAGCGGTGTTTAAAAAAAAAATTATAAGAAGTTCTTGAATTAAATGGCAAGGAATGTAACCGTGAGGGGAGCAAATAGATACATCCATGCAAAATGAGGCTCTAACGTGGCACTTTGAGTCTAGGGGAATTTCCAGTGAGTCTTAAACACACCTTCGTTTCGCACCATAAATATTGGGCATTTTTGTTGGTGAAGTATGGTCAACATACCCCAATTCAGCAGTGAATTGACAGTCTTGAGAATTGCTATTTATTATTATTAAGAGCCCATGAGACCAGAAGTCTATTTTTCGTGGGAAACCTGAGGTTTAGATAAATACAGCCAAAGAAAACTTGCGACGCGTAAACAAATCAACATCTGACGCAAAACCGAGAATAGATATTGAACAAGATAAAGTTAAGGTTTTGAAACCTCCCCCCCCCCCCCCCCCGAACACAAAATGCAACGTTCACTCGATCCTGAACCGTTCGCGCTCGCAACCTTGGCTCTGTTTCTAGCGAGCGAGGGTGGCAGGGGTCGGTGGCTTCGTTCACGGTGACGGCCCAACTTGTTTCTGCTCGAAATGTCTGTGGCCACGACAACTCCCACCCGCACAGGAGCCGTCGGCGCACCGTTACCACCTGTCAGCTTGCAGCGCCGCCAGAATAAACGCGATAATTGCAGCACTGCCCGGCCCCCCCCCACCGCTCGCCCAGCCCTGCTAATTGAAGGCAGGTGCTCTCCCAAGGGGCGCGCTGGATACCCAGTCATTATATGTGCGTAGGCCGCCAGGCTTTTCCGAACTGCAGTCGGCGCGACCTGCCACGCTCCGTCTCTCTCTCTCTCTCCCTGTCCGCCCGCGGCGTTTACCACTTGACTCCCCGTTCAAATACAAATTACACGGTCATCTCACGCTGCGCTCGCCCGATGATTGTTAAACACGTGCCACTTGCCTCGACGAGCAGCTTGTCTGCATCGCGTGGCGTAACGCACGTGCACACACACACACGTGGAATACCTGGTCACACAGACTTCAAACGTCATTCGAATCGACTCCATTAACATGGTGTTAATTCGTATTTTAAATGGGGAGCAAATTGCGGAGAAAACCCGGAGTTGGGGAAAGCTTGGCCTGGACTAGCGTTCTCTGGCGAGGATCGACCGTGGGGATGGAATCGTGGCTCCAGTTCCAGAGGAAAATCGCTCCGCCCCGAGTTTTTCGGCAGTTTACGGGAAACCGTTTTATGCAAAGGTACATCTGGGGCGTAATCTTGCATCAGAATTATCGAAGGCGCGTATTCCTCCAACATGCAATTCGACCTTTAAAGTTGGCCTAATCAGGTTTCTGCTACTTAGTGCGTACCGCTAGATTATATTTGTTGATTACTTTCATTTTTTTGTGGGGTGGGGGGGTAATGGGGGGCGTGTAAGTTGAGTGATCTTATAAACAATCTTTTAAAAGGGGGAATTGATGGAGTCACCAGCTTGGCTTGTGTGGGGACAACAATAACAGCAGCAGCGGCGAATGCACGCACAGGGCACCACCGATACACAGTCCCCTGCAGTCGCAGCACGGAGCTGGTATGAACCACCAAGGTCAATCGCCGCGGTGGTGAGATGTTAACTCCCTCTCCTGATATACAGGAGGTCGTGGATTTGATTCCCGACCCTGTCGCCTGTATATTTGAAGTTTGCTTTTCTCTCTCTCCCCGTGGTCGCAGTGGATTTTTCTCACGGATTCCTCCGGTGTTTCCCTCCATTTAGAATCGCATACTTTTAGAGTGTTTGGCTGCTGTACATTTCCACGTGATAAGCCACTTTATTGGGCTATCATTTATGGCCACGATAGATGTGGAAAAAGAGGCAAATAGCTCCGTAGATATATAAATCAGCCTCGTGCGTGTTAAAATTGATAACATAATCATAAAGACAATGGATACGTCAGCTTGTGTTATTTTGACAATGGTAAATATGGAATTGCAGCTTCGATAACCTTGAGCAATCGTTAAGCAGACACTGGCTATTCAATGTCACCACCATCTCAGTCCTGTCTCTATTTTCATTTAAACATTTGTACCGAGAAGATGCGAGTCGCAAGATGGCTGTCGATGTCTGTGGGAAAAAATACATCGACCACAATTACAATAACTGGATCCAACATTTTTTTGTTATTATCTACATATAAATATGCTGTGACCTAAAGTGGGATATATTTATAAAAGGAGATATCCGTATTTTTTTAATCTATCTCGCATTTCCAAACTATTTTCAATGAAAGATGTTTTAGTTTTTAAAAACCAAAATGTATCGTGTATAATTGCAACCGCTGTGGTGTGTACGATCATTGACCGGATGATGCCCTGACCTGAAACCCTTGTGCCCAGTCCCTTTTTCCCCTTACCCAGCCCAGACACTGGACCCCAGAACCAGTTCCCAGGATAGAGTGGCATAGCCTTGCTGGCAAGGGCCCCTGTGCGAGGAAAGAAATGGGTCCCCACCCGCCTGTCCAAATCCCCCCACATCCCTCCACTCCCACTCCCCCCAACTCCCTTAGCCTGGCATCTAGACCTCTCTGGCCCTTGATCCACTGTGCACTTGCACCACCTGCACAGCTGATACCTTAAACACCACCAGCACCCCAACCCCTAGTCTGAGTTCCCAATCCGTGGAACCAGTAGTCGTGAGCTCCTCTGACTCAGCCTTTGCTAGTCCAGGCTCCTGCCTCTTCTCTCCAGTGTCCCGACTCCAGCAACTCCGTACTCCTGACTCTAGAATCCAGACTCCAGAGTCTCCAGACCCCATTGTCCAGGTCTGGACACCCGGCACCGGATTTTGTCGTCGTAGGTGGTGGCAGCGTTCGGGGAACTGCAGACGGCACGAGGGAGCTCACCCCTCTCCCCCTCTCCCCCTCGCTCTCCCCGCCGCTATCTCTTGCCTCCTCCTCCGGCAGTGCGCAGAGCGAGCGTCGGACAGCGGACAGCGAGCAGGCCCGAGGCGGACGGCAGCAATGATTCCCTGCGGCTGGCTCATCCTCTTCACCTGCCTGGTGCCCCTCGCCTCGGCAGGTACGTGTGCCCGCTCGTAGGCGGGCGGCAGGGGGATGTCGTCGCCGGTAGAAATCCGGGGCAGCTCCCGCGTGGTGCCGCACGGAGGGATGGACGTGAGGACCCAAGCCTCCATCTCTATCTCTCTTCTCCAGCGCCCCCCCCCCCCCCACATCTCCCCACGACGAGTTCTGAGTTCCCACACCCGGCGATGCTGTTGTAGATTGGGGGGCACCATCTTTGGACCCCCCCTGTAAGAACGGAAGCGCTGACGAGGCTACCCGACCCCAGACGACGTCACCGCGTTTAGTTTGGGGGATATAAGAAGTCGCCTCTGGGTCTCGCTGAGGTTGTGTAACCGTGGGAGGGTGGAAGGGGGGGTGTTGTTTGTGGTGGTGGTGGTAGTGGTCATTGGTGGTGGGAGGATGTGGGGGGCAGTGTTACCAACTCAGAGGGTTTTTCCTCCACTTCTTGGAGGTTTCTTTTGCATTGAGGGATATCACGGGGAAACAAGTTGCTTTAGATGTGGACTTTATTTGTTTTTGCGTCTATGGGTTTTTTTTATTTTTTACCGGATGGGTGGAATGTGTTTTGTCAGCGCATTGTTTAGTTGGCTACTCTGGGTGATTTTTAGAGAAATCTAATAATCCATGTTGTTCTTATTTGGCGAAAATCTGCAACTACTTCCAGCAAATGTCTGAGAGTTTGTGCTCATTAGTGTGAGGGAGAGTTCATTTCACCCAGATCGGAGCGGCCAAAACTCACGTGGATAGGTGTGTGCCCAACTGTAATGGTTTTTTGAGTTGCTTACAGCAGAGTGCTGACACTCCCACACACTATAAACACTCGCTCGCAACAGACGCACTTGAATTCCGATTTGGTAAAAAAAAATCTGGGTGACTTAGAAGGTTGTTTTTTAAAGGCTCAAATCAAATCGTGGCTGAATAACACGCCGGTGTTGAATCTGTCGCTTAAGGGGTGATAGGCAGGATGCCCTTGTCCATGTTTAAGTTGTTGACCTGGTTGCGGGAGGTGACCGAGTTGGGAGAACACAGTTCGATACAGAACACTGGCTGTGAATGAGGTGATGAGGACGGTCAGGGTCTGCGCATTAGATGGGTAGCGGCAATGTTTAGACGGTTTCCAGGCGATAGGTTTTTACCTCCACATCTACTACACTTCTGCTTTTTCAGTCGAGGGAATTCAGAGCTGACAGGGTTGGTTTGCAATCTGTTACTCGCCATCTCTCCCCCAAACAATGGTGCGCGCGGCCGTATTATCCATATTAGGAGACACACTTTTTCCCGCTGCGTTCTAAAAGCAAAAAGTTGGGGGTTTGTCTTATAAATCCGGTAGGTGTGCGCAATGTGTGTGTGCCTGAGACCGGATTTGTAGAACTGCATGGACGCCGATCACGAGTTTGGAGTGAGTCTTATTTTCTGGGGCATCTTGTAAATCCGAAGAATACGGTGAAATCCAATCTGAAACATCCCCGCTGCTGCCTTCACAAGTTGAGATTCAAAGAAAGAGCACCCGGCGGCGTGCGATTGCGGAGAAAACTTCGACGAGACCGTCTACCGCACATCGAACCCTGCTGTGAACCCCAAACGTTCAAAGGAAGGAGACTTCGTAGCGATCCGCTCGCTCGCTGTTCACCCAGTGGCGGGACGCTGCCGTGGAGTGAACGGTCAGCAAGCTGGGCTCGCAATTCGGAGGTGGCCTGTTCGATCTCCCGGTGCGACAGAGGTTTAAACAAATGACCAAATATCTGATAATTGTCCCCTCCCACCCTTTGTCCACCCAGCGGTTAAAATGGGTACGCAAACAGTTAGTCAATTAGCAGGTGCTTGCGTGTTGGGTGAAGCCGTGGGTGCTCCCACCATTTTCACGACATCTGACCGACGCGGAGGAGTCGGCTCTTGAGGGCTCAGCAGAGCTCCCTCTAGGCAGAAGCTCGTCTGCCAGCAGCAGTGGCGTAAGCGAGCGGCTGCGGAGCCTGCGCCTTTGGCTTTGTGGCCAGCGGTCCACGCACAAGCGACAAGGCTTGCCATCTCTGCGGACGCGCTGCCCTGGCCTGCACGTCGAGCGTTGTGACGCCGTGGACGAAGACGTCACCTCGTCCACGGTGTGCGCGTCTGTGTTTGGGCGCCACTGAGGTGGCTGGGAGATGTGAACTGCCTCGCCCTGGCATGCAGGAGGTCGTGGATTCGATCCCGGCCCTGACACTTGCTGTATATTTGGAGTTTGCGTGTTTTCTCACCGTCGTGGCATGGATTTTCTCCTCGGTCCTCCAGTTTTTCCCTCCACATTTAGAAACATGCGTTTTAGAGTATTCGGCTGATTATACATTTCCGCTTGATAAGCCACTTTGTTGAGCTATCATTTTTGGCCAGGTTGCTTGCGAATAAAGAGCTATATAGCTCGGTGGGCCTCACCTGGTAAAATAAAAAAAAGCACATTGCCGGGCTGCCAGACGACTTATAAATATTCCTGTCGGCAACTTGGGGCCGATGTTGCTGCACCCAAACTGGAGCCGGGACAACAATGCAGGCAACGACAATGGTAGCGAACTGCGGCCGGAGGAGAGAGGGAGGGAGGTGGGGGTGATGGGGAGCAAAGTTAAACTTAGAGAGAGAAGCAGCAGTGGGGACTGACTCAGGAGAGAGTCGCTGAGTGAGTACAAGGAAACAAAGATTCCCCCCCCCCTCCCCCCTGTTGGAGTCCATTGTTGTTAGCGAGTGTCTATTAACGGAGGCGCGTGCACACAAAATGGAAGGTGTGGCTGGCGCCGTGGCCCTGAGTGCCTGGCTGCTTTTTGCCGCTACGTAAAATCGATGCAGGCCACGCCACCGCACGATTGCATAGCTTCTAGATCTTGTTCGCGAGCACCGATTGATGGCAGCTCAGAACGCCATTGGATGACTCGACTCGCGTCACGCATGGCCGCCCTTCTTTGTCCCTCCGAGTTCTGATCGTTCTCCTCTCCGTATCAACTATTTATCTTGGGCCCAGTTGAGCTATTTTTATTTTACCAGGTAAGGTCCACTGAGCGATATAGCTCTTATTCGTAAGCAACCTGGCCACAATGTGACAGCTCAACGAAGTGGCTTATCACTGTGGAAATTTATAGAAACCAAATACTCTAAACGCGTGTTGATTCTAAATGTGGAGAGAAAAACCGGAGGACCCGAAGAGAAACAAAAATCCACGCTGCCACGGGGAGAACATTGCAAACTCGAAATATACAGGGGTCGGCGTTGGGATCAAACCCATGGACCTCCTGCATACTAGGCAAGGAGTTGACATCTCGCCACCGCGGTGCCCCAGCCTTGGCGAGGCAAAATCCGATTTGAAATGACCAGCAGTTGAGCTTCAGTGAGCAGTGCGCTAATCACCGTGCCACCACTCCCCACACACAGCAGCCACCATTGAGAACCAAGCAGTGTGAGACGCCACTACAGATCGTGCCAGGCTTGGGAGGCCGTACATAAATGACTGTCACGCACCTAGGGGGGGGGGGGTCAGACATTTGTGACGATGTGTGACGATGGGGGGGGGGGGGGTTGAGAAATGTGACGTCACATCAAAATGCGCAACTTTAAATAAATATAGACAACACGTTCTACTTAATTAAATAGACTTTTTAATAAATGTTTTCTCCTACAACATCAGAGTAGGCACTACAATGACAATAGTCTAAAGCAATTTGAAGCATGTTTTATATTTTTTTGGGGGGGGGCAGAGCTTTCTGACGTCATATTTGAGAGGGGGTCTGACTTTTTGTGACGCCGTGTGACGAGGGGAGGGGGGTCAAAAATCGTCAAATCGCGTGACGTCATTTATGGACGGCCCCTTGATACATGTTTAAGGCCACATAAGAGTAATGGCTTTAACGTTTTTGTGGTCGATTTCTTATTGAAGACGAATATGCCATCGCATGAGCTTCTTGTACGAGGCCGTGTTAACATGGGGAAGGTCCAGGCCATTATCGGATGCCTACTGTCATTACGACCATCTTTGGCCAGAACTAAAACCCAGATTGGCAGAATTGTGAGAGAAGAGCTCCAACCACTTCAACACCACCTTGGCCAACAACACTATTTAGTCTTGCAGACTCGGGGCACGAGCTGTTAGCGATTGCCTGTTAAAGCCACGCGGAACATGGGTGAGCAGTCGGGCCAAATACCTCGCCGTCTTGACTTCCTTCATCAAGTGGAGATGTTGATCACGTCAGACACCCAGTGGGTACTCCGTTTAGGTGGAGTTGACATAGAGGAGGTCCAGAATTGGATCACGGTTTTTTTTTGGCCAGGACATCAGTAACTTATAAACATGCGTTCTAAATTTGAAGCTTGGAGTATTTGGCCGCTATACATTTGCCACTTAATTGAGCTATCATTTGTGTCCAGGTCACTTTTGAATGAGAGCCATGTCGCTCAGTGGACCTTAGCCTGGTAAACAGAAGTTCAGTTTATTAATACAGTGTATTTAAGCTTTTAATTTGTGTACATTTTAAACGAATAATAAGAACACGAAGGAAGGAGTGGGGGATGGAGGCAGCAGCTTGGGCGAATGCGATGACGGCGGCAGCCGACGCGCACACACACATCAACGGGCGCACGTCACATGTGGCCACATCTAATGTTAACCTCCAGAAAAGTAGGTTAACACGTAACCACATCTAATCGTCAAAGTAATCCAATTACACGTCAAAGGTCGCATCAAACATCTCGCTCTCTCGCTCTCTCTACTCAAGCGATCGGTCGGATGGTGCTGTGCCCTACTACTCATTGGCGGTACAGAGACGTGGATGGAAATTCCACGTGTCCATGGCTGGGAGCAGTCTTGCAGGCTATGTCGCTTTGACAGTGAGTCGTGCAGGAACGCAGTCCACTGCCTCTGAAACCTCCAGTGATGAGGAATTGCACTGGAGTCGGATTACTGTTAAAATCTCGAGTCATCGGTCATTGGACTGGAGTCGGATTGCTGTAAAAATGTAACCACCAAACCCAGCAGTGCGC